GGGGAAGGGGGGAGGGGTTGAAACGGAAGGGGAGTCTTATTGTTCTCGAGCCCTGATTCAATCTCTGAGCACGAAATTTTCCAATTTTCAAGTAACTATTTAAATGTGCATTTAAACATTTTATGAATATTTATTTTATTTATCAGATTGATTGATTTTTTTCTCATCAACTATGGGCGTCAAATCGCGTGAGTTGTATCAACAGGTCGTATAAACAATTCCCCAGGGAATAGTCGATCTCCCCGTTTCAGATGATTCTGAATCATCTGAGCATAATTTTTTGAGACAATTTTTTTTATTCATTTTAAGTGGAATTTTTGAATTTTGTTGGAATTTATTGGAGAAACATAGGTCTTCAGATGAACATTAATAAATAAATGAATCAAAATAAGTCATGGAAAATTTTTTGTTCTCCATTATCTATTACTATGGTAATAGAAAATTAATTGTTTCATTATCCAATATGAAAACAATTAGAATTATTTATTTTTCATTACCCATTATTATGCTGATAAAAAATAAATTTGATTTCATTATTCATGATAAAAATAATTGGAATTTTCTGCTTTTCATTTTCCATTGGTATATTAATGAAAATGAATTTTATGGCACGCGGTGCAATAAGTGGATTTCATCGCACGCTGCGCTTCGCGCAGCGTGCTTCAAACTCGACTTCTGCACGATGAGGCATAAAATAGTATAGACCACTCGGGCATAAACTTCGTTTTCAACGAATGTGAATACAGACCTCGTCTTCGGCTCGGCCTGTAAACTTCACATTCGTCGAAAACGAAATTTGTGCCCTTGTACTCTAATGTACTATTTAACCCAAGAGGTAAAATAAAGAAGTCGCGTTCACGAGCGGAACAAATGTAACTGAAACTCAATTCTGAATTTCGAAAGTTCAAACGTTCTGAGGAACAAAGTGTTTCAAGAATTGAATCTTCTGAAGAGTGATTCTTTTTAAGAGTTAGACATTTTCAAGATTAATCTCCTTGAGGATGAGACGTTCTAACGTTCAAACGTTTAGAGACTTGTACGTTTTCAAAACAGTTCCAGAAAGAAAGTGTGCAAGGAACATGGCAACGTCCAGACCCTCCTTTCTACGAATCCCTTCGGAAGCTTACTACCAATGGAATTGGTAGAAATAAAGAATAGGAAAGATGAATAACACACAAATTAACGGTCATTTGTTTAATTCTTGAGTACTCAAATATATTAATTTTTGTTTGAATGGGCGAATCTCATATTATCGTTTACTAAATTTTGTTTCTATATAATTCATCGCTTTTTCTTTCTAGATATCTATAATTTACTTCCAACCTCTGTGAGACATTGAAGTTATTACATATAGCTGCTCAATTAGATGTACGGGATTATACCCTTACTCCACTGTTCCTTCTTATGGCAAAAATAATTCAATCTATCAATTATTGAGGTATTCATATGAATCAACTACCAGCTTTGGCATTGAGTGGCATAACCCAGGATTCACGGCGAGGACGCATTTTTCGCATCCGATACAGTTCTCTAAATGAATTGCAATGGGAAAAAGAGAAATACTGGTTCGGTAGAAAATTCGGGAGAATACAAGACTAGAACCGCATTGAACTTGATTTAAATAGATTTACTCCATCCATACTAACCTGCAGTTTCATGTCGTCACTAATACAAACATTTGAATTCACAACTGCATGAATGTGTTCCACCATCCCCAAATAAACAAATTTCCCTATTGACTTTCATTGGCATATGGAATATTTTTGGTCTGATAACAACTGATGCTGTACCCAACAAAGTAGTGTCTATCACCGCTACGTGTGTTAAATTTAATGTGGTGTTAAATCAAGATATGATCCTTTAGGAAATTTGTGTGTATGTCAGTGTGTGTGTGCGGATTTTTCAGAATTTTTTGAGAAATCTTCACGAAACAAACAGGGTTGCGAGCCTATTCGACAGACGCGACAGACCGTTATTTTATTCGTTATTAATCTTTTTGATTCTTTCTCTCTTTACCAATTCCATTGGTAATGAACTTCCGAATAGATCTGTCGCAATGTTTCTACGATGAATTCCCCTGAAAAATCCCCTTGGAAAATTTTCTATACTTTTTTGTAGACCAGTTTCCGTTATCATTCTGATCGTTATGTTCATTTGTTTGAATGGTAGTTTGTTTGTCATTTCTTAATGTTGGAATATTCTAGCACAGCTCTCTCATTGTTGTACAAAAACTACTCGATAAAGATTTATAACATACTGGGAAAATAGTTCTAGAAAGGGACTAATTTACGATCCGTTGTCCTCCGCAATCGAGAGCGGTTTAATCCTAAACATGTGCCGAAATTTGAAGAAGGACTGTGTTCTCTTGAGGCATAAAACTTTATGATTTTATTTTTCGTTCTCCCAGTGAGAGTTTTCCCTTGGTTATACTAGTTAGTTTCTGGACAACTGTCCTCTAGTACAGACGTGCCTTCCTCGTGTAAAATGAAGAGAATTTGATAAAGTATTTCACTGGTTTTTCGGATTTATTCATTCGCTTGCACCCATATTCCAATACTTAAATTATTCTTCTCCAGTGCCCCTCTTTTGTACTGTCCAATTCTCCCACGATAGCATTCACGCTGTGGCATAATTTATTATTTTTCACTAGGGGGCTATGCCCCCTGCTCGCTTCGCTCGCCAACCCCGGGGGGGCTTCGCCCCTCCCGCTCACTTCGCTCGCTCCCTCCTGTGTGGCTAGGCGGGTATGACCATGGGGGTTTGTTCAATACTTTCATTGTTAAAATTTTATTGTGAAATACATTCATTGGCCATGAAATAGAATAATCCACTCAAAGCACTCAAAATTTCTGTTTCTGCATGTATTTCTCCCCCCAAAAGGGAAGGGGATCAGACTCCATCCAACGCCTGTCCAGTGAGGCACAACCACTCAATATTTTCCATCCATTCATATATATTCTAAAACTCCATTTATATTAAACATAACCCTTATGACCCTTACATCCCCATGACATTTATGACCCTTATATCCCCATAACTCTTATGACTCTTAGCAACCCTATAACCCTTATGACCCTTAGCAACCCCATGACCTTTGTGACCCTTAGCAACCCCATGACCCTTGTGGCACTTATGGCCCTTAGCAACCCATAACCCTTATGACTCTTAGCGTGACCCTTCTTTTGACCCTTGATATCCTCATAACCCTTATGAACCTTACATCACCATGACCTTTACACTAGGAGATATTGAGCAAAACATATTTTCATAAAAAGTTGAATATCTCCCGAACTACTCGTCCAATTTCACCACTCGAAAATACCAGCCTGTAGAACCATGAGAGTCACAATCGTACCAAATTTCAGCTTTTTATTTGAATTTTTTCTTAAGTTATCGTGCCTACACCGACCTTGCCGTTTCATAACATTCAACATTATCTCCAAGCAAAATTAAAAGACCGTAAAAATCGACGATTACGAAGTTTCCATTCGGAAGCAAAAATAAATAAAGTCGATGCTAAAAATCTGAAATTTCGTGAAATAATTGGCATTGTTTGCAAGCACATCTGGGCGGAATTTCAGCTCAATCCCTCTACTAGTTTTTGAGTCAACACAATTTGTCGAAAATTTTTTTGCTCCATATCTCCAAAAGTATGAGACTGAAATGAATTTTTTTGACGTCAAAATATTTCTAATGATAATATCTATCAAATCAAGTCATAATATTTCTACTTAATCAGGGATAACTTGACAATAATCGGCATTTTTCATTTTTGTCATAAAATCTGTGTAGGCACGATAACTCTGGAAAAAGTGGTGATAGAAAGATGAAATTTGGCATGTTTGTAACTCTGACGGTACTACAGGCTGTTATTATGGAGGGGTGAAACCGGACGAGTAGTTTAGGGGATATTTAACTTTTTGTGAAAATACGTTTTGCTCAATATCTTCTAAACTATTGGTCGGATTGAATTTTTTGTCAAAATACTTGTCTTGATGTCCTCTATCGAAATCAATCAAGATATGGATACCCGTGCATACAAAGTTTTCGAGTTTTTCTAATTTTTCCATCTCAGAGTTGATGTGACGTACCACAATACATGGAAAAGTCGGGAATACAATTTCAAATTTTGGGTAATAGTTAATACGATTGATTCACGCTAGTGTATTAATTTATCTGAAAATTGTTTTTGTCTCAAGTGAAACATTGTCATTCTATCAATGATTTTCGAATCTGTATGACTTAAGAAGTCACGTACCGTAAAATTGTCTTATTTTCTGCTTCATATTATGGCAGTGTTTCATATTGTGACAGACATAAATGTGTACAGGTTCATACATTTGGAGGGTCGAATTTTGAATCGATCAAGGATGTTTACAGGTCAGGAGCTTTAAGGGCCAGTTTTTTGGTTAAACTAACAATTCCAGCTGTGGTTAAAAATGGCGGCGCCTATGTTTACGAGACACAAAGATGTGAAACGCTATATAAATTCCCTTCTTTAATGTAAAAAACATGAATGCCGTAAGAAGGACGGCGGAGCTCAATATGTACCAGAAATTTGAAATGGAGAAATGGCTAGGAGCCGGATAGCTCAGTTGGGAGAGCACCCGATGCATAATCGGAAGATCTCAGTTTCAAATCTCGGTCTGCACTATCCAATTTTTCAGCACAGTAGATTCTCTCTAATTCGACGACTCTCCAATCCGCAAAATTTCCCCTCCGAGCCTGCCCTCCCTCCAAGTACGTTGCACCACTCGTGGAATGTTATCCATCCTTGTCCATGACGTCATGCGCGCAGAATTACGCAAGCGAGATAAATTGAATGTGGCCCATCTACAACGATAACCTCTAAAAACGGAAAAATTTCGACACGCGGCAAAAAACGTAAACATGTCTCTACTCAAATCGACTGCAAGTTGCGAGCGGTGAATGAAATAAATAATGGCACTCCGGTTAGTGCTATTACCGAAATTTTGAACGTTAGTGAGAATACTGTGAATATGTGGGTGAAAAATGAGGATAAACTTAAGAAGTGGGTAAGTGAACATGTAGGGAATATACCAAAGCAAATACGACTCACAAGGCCATTCAATGAAAAAGTTGATCAAGCCAGTTGGATTTGGTTTCAAGAGATGCGACGTACCGGGTGTGCATTGGATGGTCCTCTGGTGAGAACTCAAGCCCCACGTTTACGGCAATCTCTCGGAGGTACTAAAGAGTTTGTGGCTAGTCCAGGATGGTTGACCCGCTGGAAAGAACGTCACGGAGTTAAGTTCGTGACAATTGCTGGCGAGAAGCTGTCTGCTGATGTTGAAGGAGCAAACGAGTATAGGGAGGAATTCAAAGAAATTAGGGCTGAAGAAGGGGTCTGCAGTCATCAAATCTTCAACTGCGATGAGACTGGATTGAACTTCAGAAAAATGCCCACGAAAACCTTGAGTACCCAATCAAGTGCACCAGGGCTGAAGGTTCAAAAAGAACGTCTGACAGTCCTGGTTTGCAGCAACGTATCAGGGACATTCAAGCTGCCACTAGTGGTTTTGGGCAAATCTGCAAAACCCAGGGCCCTCAAGGGCATCACCAATCCCTAGTGCTGTATAGAAGTCAAAAGAGTGCCTGGATGACTGGCTCTCCTTTCGAAGAGTGGTTTCACCAGGAGTTTGAGCCTCTAGTAAAATTCTCCCTGCTACAATTCGGTCTTCCCCTGAAAGCCATTCTTTTTATGGACAACCGCGGTGCCCACCCACAGGCTTCGAAGAATGGCTTCATTATGATTAAATTTTTTCCTCCGAATACCACTTCAATCATTCAACCAATAGATCAAGACTGTCTTCAGCAATCAAAAATGCTCTATCGACATAGGTTGATGACGTTTGTGTTGGATCAACCAGATCAAAGACAAACTTTGAGTGAATCCCTAAAGAACATAACTATTTAAGAAGTCTTTTTTTGGGTAGCAACGTCCTGGCAAGAAACCCTCAGTTCAACGATAATCAAGTTTTGGAAACCAGTAAGTTACTATTACAAATAAAATTTTTTCCTTAATTGCAACTAAAGTACATTTGAATCGAGTTACTCAATAATGAATTGGCGATAAAAAAATAATTTTACAAATGATAATAATTTCAGGTATGGCCGGAGATCATGGAGGACTCTCTAATCGTTGAGATTTTGGGAAGCGTCACTCATGACAGAGTTTCTGTTGAGAATCAAAATATTGTTCAATGTGATCAAATTTTGACAGCATTGCAAAATAGTGATAACCAATACAAGCAACTTGAATCAGCTGATCTAAATATTTGGTTGAACCCTGGAGTTTCAGCAACAGAAGATAAATGTCTCACGCAGGAGGACATTATTGATATTATGAATGATGAACAGGATGACAAAGTAAATGATCAGAATGTGGGGAATAGTGAACGTTCACTGGATGCTAGCGATCCTGAGAAGATCTCGTGTGAAGCAATTTTGTCTATTGACAGAGTCATACGCTACAGCGAGTCAAACCCTCTATTCAACACGGATCAGCTCCTCAAGCTACATGAAATTCAAGACAGACTGAGGACACAAGTCAGTGAGCCAACTCAAGTATCATCATCACAGAATGCAAGGAAAAACAATGTTATCGGTAAAAAAGCGACATCTGATTTGATGAAAACGTTTGTGGCTGCTTTCTCCCAAGCCTCTAATTCCCAAAGCTAATTCTAGAGTAGACTTTGTAGTTGCCAAATAAATTATTTAAAAAAAATAATATTATGAAGAAAAGAATAGAGATTGTCTACATTCAGTCTAGTTCTAATGTTGATTTTTTTGTTAAAAAAAATGATTTAAGACGTGTGAAATAATTTTAGAGACGCGAAGGGTCATTCAGAGCAATTCTAATGTGATTCATAAGAATATTAGTTGGAAAGTTTAAACCTATAAATGATTTTCATTCAATTGTTTCCAAGTTTAAACAAAGTTGAAAAGATTTCTATCACGATAATCCTGATCTCGTTGCAGATAATGAGTCATTTTTCTAGCTGTTTCAAAATCTGAACAGGAGTGATATTATTAAGAAATATGTACTCAAACAATTCGTTATTTCCTCACCGTACTGATGTTTAGATGCAACTACATTGTGATTCATCATAATATTTGTTTAAAATCTTATATTACTGAGTCATAGGTGTCTAGTATTTTTTAAGTTTAAACAAAGTTGAGAACACTCATCGGATAATAATATTTAACTGTAATGGAATTTTCCATCTGGGACTGGAAAACCACGTTAACGCGCCCATTTCTCCTAGACTGAGAAAACTAAAAAAAAAAAACGTGTCGATGGGCGCCAGCCGTCCTTTGATCTCGGAAACGACAAACCGAATAAACGAACTACAAATGAAAACCAAAACGAAGGAATCAGAAAATAACCATTAATCTAACACAAACTTAAAACTAAGGAGCCCAGTGGAAGGTGATAGGTTGTCCGCGCTGCTCTGGGGGTTAGTTGTGGAGAGAGGGGTAGGTTCGGATGGAAAATTGGGCCAATGGGTATTGCTAAAAAAAACAAATAACGTAATTCGAAATACTGGAGTTAATGTTGTGTAATGTATCGAGGTTATATTCATGAAAAAAATAGGAGAACTACACACAATTGTTTAAAAAAAAATATATCCAAAATATATCCAAATAATTTAGTATGAGAAAAAGAAACATGAAATTAACACAAACCAACTAATGTAATAAAAAACTGAGAGTAAGAGCACAATCAAAAAAAAAGATTGAAAAAAAACAGAATAGTCACACAAAAAAACATATTCTTCAATACTCAACAATTATTGAGCAGACAAAGAGCTAGAGGACAAATGTTTAACGTGAATTTCAATCCTACGACTCGAATTCTCGTCAACGTCACGAAATAGAATTAAATGTGAAACAAATCCCATGAAATCTAACACGCCTCCACGTCCAACGCAAAGAGAAAATCACGACTCTAATCAACTCGCGTTAAACAACAACATTCTCACCGTTCAGCGCAAAACCCGAATAATAAAAAAAATGGAACGGACCCGGGATCGTATGGAATCGAACAGCCGAATACACCAGCCGTATCTTTACGTAATCCGACTGCGAAATTCTCATAATTATGCACAAAAAAAAGGAACAATTGAACTCCACAATAATCCTCAAAAGAGTTCTGCGGCACAACTCCCCGATGGTTACGAAAACCATGTGGCAACGTGAGTCGGAACCCAAAATCTCATCTAACCTTCTGGTTAGATGCAAAATTCTCCCCACAGGGGCATCGCCCAAAGGCACTCTGCCGGAAGGCCATGGACTCGATGAGGGCTAGTCACCGACTCCGCGAATACTCGACTACTCTACTACACGACTCTCGACTGCTCTTCTCAACTAATTGAATACGCAAGGATCGCTCAATTTATACCCCAAAAGTGAAAAGAGAACGAGTATCTAACGCCAAAAGATGGAACGAGAGCGTTATATCCACGTAGTGAGGTCAGCCGCTGTGACGTAGCAAATGTCCAGCGCTAGGTATGATGAAGCTGCTAAAGGGATACGTCAACCTAATAGCCATAAACGCGCAATTCGATTCAACTTGAATCGACAACAGACCAAAACAACAAAAGAAAATGAAACGGAGTAAAAAGGCGGTAATTAACCCAGATAAGATCCACTAATTATCATTACCTCTTCGGAGCTGCATTCTCAAAGATTACCGGGGCAGAGACGCAAGACACATCGCAACTATAACTTAACAGAACATATAATGCACCATAAGACGAAACTTGATTCCCTAAAACGTATAGCGATCTTGGCAATTGACACGGTTGCAAGGGTCGCGATTGGCCGTGTGACCTTCCACCGAAACTCAAATTCGAAACTGTCTCCTCCCGATAAATCCATACACTGAGCTCCAGCATTTCCGCTGAGCCTCCACATTTCCCCGAAGATTAAATGCAAGGGGGTATTCCTATCAATAATCGCGTAGCTCGATAATATTTTGGTCCAAACAACGAAAATTTCTGGGTCCCCGATAGTTAACTTTATCAAAACTCATAACACATAGCACGTAAAAGGTATCCAAAATAAAAATAATTTTTCTTCAATATAAATGATCACCGGACGATGACTAACACGATAATTTTTCCTGTCCAAAATTTATCAAAATAAAAGGCTCTGGGTCTTTCTCTGACTCACGCTTAATCCGCAGTTCTCGGATTCGGACAGGAAAAAATATTCAAAATTCCCAGAATTCCTTACATAACACGATTGATATTATTAAATAAAAAATATGTACTTAAACAATTAGGTATTTTCTCACCGTAATGAAGTTTAGATGCAACTAAAATGTGATTCATCATAACATTTGTTTAAATATTTAGACCAATGAGTCATAGTTGTCTAGTATTTTTTAAGTTTAAACAAAGTTATAATTCAACTCAATTGTTGTAATACTAATTAGTATTATAAACATCAAGAGTTAATGTACCTTTTATTTTTCAAATAAAGTTATAATCATTACATTTTTATTTTTATTTTTGACGGCTCTCATTTGACAGTCATAGTTTATGTTGTTTTTCTGCTTCTACAATCTTTATTCCGTAACTCCGCACTAAGCGGACCATTCCTACACGCTCACACTGCTCAATGATAGAACAGAGTGGGGGGAACTCTCCTATCCGAGATTCGGAGAATATCACCCATGCATACGTCCCGAACCCGTCGAATTAGAGAGACTGTACAAATTTTTTAGTTATTCATATTGAGAATAATCCTGGTTCCCCTCCTCCCTCATCCTAATCCCATCCAATCATTTCCAATGACGTCACAAAGATGTGGAACGCTACATAAATTCCCTTCCTTAATGTGGGACTGGTTAAAATTCAAAAATATTGCACATTTCCTCCACACTCATGACACTAGGGGACACAATTCCCCTCATATGGGGAACGTGGTGGCGGGCTGGATTTAACTTTAATCACGAGTTAACCATAGTTAGTTTAACCAAAAAACTGGCCCTGAGGGTCACATGTTCTGAGAGTGAATTTTCTTTTTCATAATTCCCAATTATGCTCTTACTAGCTACCATGCAGCTGGATAGGGATTGATAACATTGAAAACCGGGAAAAGTGAGACGATTGGAAAAATTGATAAACAAACAAACAAGAGATAAAAATAGAATATCCATCAGTTTAACAGGTGTGATTACAGATATAGTATCTCTTCGTGTGAAGAGTGATAAATTATGCCATAGTGTAAATGCCATCACAGGAAAATCGGGATACGCGGTAGCGTATCGGCCAAGTCGCGCCTCATAACCTCACAAAAAAACGACGAGAGCTACCGAGTATCTATATACGACACAACTTCCCCTTCCACTACCCTCAACGGATTTTCCATCAATTAATGAAAAATGCGACCACTTGGACAAAAACTGTCCTTAGTTACACTATATAAATTACCAATCCACTTTCCACTGGTGCAATTATTAATTTAATCCGTTCAATATTTACGAAGATATGCACATAGTAACGAACTGGCATACACATTTTTCGCGTTCCCATTATTTTCTAAACGAGAACGGGCACAC